AAAAATAATAAAGCGCTTTTAAAAACACATAATGTTAAATTATCTAATATGTATAAGAAAGCATAAAGCTGCCTTTATAATAGATAACTTGTTATACTTTACTAAAAGTAGGAAAACTACCTAGGGCATAAATAGAGACGCCTGTAGTGCAGAAGTTGTAATGTTAAGAAAATAAAGTAAACCTTAACATTAATGTTATTAAGAAGATAATAGGAAGTTATTTTTAAGCTAAAAACCTGCTAAAACAGAAGGCACTAAATGTCCTGCATGCAGACACATCTATGCACTAAAGGACTGCTTCTATGTCTATCTAGACAGAGCACTAGACTAGTAGATGCTAAATAAGAGAGTTAAAGAGCTTATAGCATTAAAGCGTAAGCACAACTTAAAATTTTAAGGCCTACTTAGAGAGCAGTGTAGACATAATTTAAGAATACTAATCCTAAAGAGTTTACATACACCTACGCTAGAGATATAAGAAGACTAACTTTAAGGCTAAGAAGTATTAAGAGTTAAGGCAGCTGCATTACTAGCTATAATTAATTTAAACTAGAATAGATATCTACTAAAAGAATTATTTATCCTTAACTTAGGCTTAACATGCTACATTATAAACAATCTTAATTAGATCTACAACTATTGTTTACTAACACTAGAAGACTTTATCTAGTCTAGAAACTCTTGCATATAAATTTAAGGCTATAGATTAATTACACTAAGCCTAAAAAGTAAGCATAGAACACACAGTTAAGCATACAGTCTTGTACTACATAACGCTGCACTGTGCCTAGACCTGCTGTGCAACCTAGTCTTGTTCTGCCTACTGCGACAGAAAGGAATCTAGTAGGACACACAAGCGGAGCTAACTGCTTTAAAGGCCCTAGACAGGATAATAATTAGAGATCTTACAGAGATCTATAGCTAATAGGTGTTAAAGTACTATCTACTATAGAAGGGCTTATATTATTGTCAGATTGAAGCACTGTTTCTAGACTTCCTGAGATGAATGATGGGTTTGGATATGATGTATGGGATGATTGATTTATTGTCTTGATTTATCGATCCTTTTTCTGCTCTACCCGTGTTGCTCGGCTTTTTGTTTTGCCGATCCGAGTCCCTCGCGCACTTGCCCTATGCGCGACCAGCTTGCAACATGCTGCAATTTGCTGCAACATGCTGCAACATGCTGCAAAATGCTGCAACATGCAGCAATTTGCAGCAACATACTGTTCGAGCTTATTGCTCGTACTATGTAGCAGCTTTCGTCAAACGTTCCTCCTTCTTGACAGTAGGTGCGCATATCTGACAATTATACACATATAATTAACACAAGAACTAAACATAGTCTATAAAAGGCATTAGCAGAGCTATAGCATAAGCGTCTAGGACACCCTAGACTAGCTACACTTTAACACCTTGTATAGCAAGCTAAAAGGGTGCAAATTAAAGAAATCATAACAGTTTAATATAACTTGTGTAGCAGAGCTAAGATACAATAATAAATTAGCTGCACACTACAAATTAGTAACAGTAGACTTAGTAAGAGACTGTTAATTAATTTTTATGCATACAAAGCACAGAGCATTATAAAAAAGCAGAGTTAAATGCTAATTACTAATAAGTATTCTAGCCTCTAGTAGGACCTCTGCTTTAAGAACAACAGGCCTGCTAAATTAATTATTAAAGCTCTTATAATTTTTATCCTCTTTCTAAAGAACTATTATAACATTACTATAAAAGTTATTAAAGCTAATAATAAGATTATAACAGTAAAACTAGAGGTAGAACGCTAGCTAGCATTGCATAGAATAACTGTTAAGCCTTTAGCACTAGATACACAAGCCTAGAACAGAGGAGCTGAACGCTTAGAGGGTGTAAATAAAGAGAAGTCACAGGCTATGCAACTAGATGCTAACCTACTATAGGACATATAGCTATACATTACTAGAGCTAGCGTATACCTATACAATTAGACGCTAAACTATGCTAACAACTAGAAGACACTATATAAAATCTTCTTTATACAAGTAGCTCTAAATAATAAAGTTATTATGTTAATTTAAAAGCTAAGCTTTACATATCTAAAAGCCTATAGCTGTAAAGCATTTATAATAACTAATAACACGCATTAAAACAAATCTAAGCTATAAAGGCTAGACCTAAAGGCGTAGATTAGATATCTAGTTAGGTACTAATTATTAAACATCTACTGTGTATAGATACTACTGCTAGCAAAAGTAATCTATACATGTAATGTTATTTTTAACAAATACTTAATTTTTAGTAGTAAGCCTAAAGACCTAATAAATAACTATATACATAACATAGTAAAAGAAATTATTACATATATTAGAATAATTAAGCTTCTAACACCTAGTTATTAGCTAGAGACAGAGTTGTTCTATAAAGATAACACTATAGACAATATTTTAAATTTTAATAAAGTAGACCTACTAGGCTACTATTAAAGAAGAAAGATTAGAGATAACTATCTGTCTTCTCTAAATACTCTACTACCTGCAGCATTACTTATGCAGTTAATAGCTAGAGCAGCACTAAAGCTAAGCTAAATAGAGTTATTAAAGACTATACTATAGGCTGTAGCTTTTATAGCTAGCATAAGATCTAAAAGTATAGAAAAGCATAGCAGCAAGACGCTAGATAAAGCAGCATTAATAAAAATGCTATTTAAAAGGAAGACACCTTATAAAAGCTAGCTGCTACTTTTACTATTAACTTAAAAGTAACTAAAGGAGCACTCTCTACATAAAATGTTTAAGGCAGCAGAAAAAACGCACCTAGATAGTTATTAGACAATAAAATCCTAGACAGAGGTCTAGACAAAGCTAATTAAGGCAGCTAGACAGCAGATTCTAGATTATATGTAGGTGTACACTTATAAGCTTAATAAGCACTATAGATTATAAAGATGTAAGGCGTAACTAGTAGTCTACAGTAATTAATAGAGAAACATTACTACACAAGATACCTACGCTGCCACTCTAGCAGAACGCTTATTTTAAATGCTAATAGCAATATCTGCACGCTTTAACCTAGAGCTTAAATAATACAATGTAACTAACACATTTATACATGCAGTAATTAACTGTAATATCTACATGCAGATGCTAAGAGGCTATTAGAAACTAGGTATAATACTAAAGCTTTAAAAGGCACTATATAGCCTACAAATTTCTTCTCTACTCTAGTAACACTATTTTATAACAACTTTTAAAGGCCTTAGGTTCTTAGCTGTCCTACATAAACTCTACTACTTAACTAAAGCTAGAATATTTGTCTTCTTTTATGTAGACAACCTTATTATTGCGTACAGGAAAGGCTCTAAAGCAGATGCACAGCGTGTAGTAGACTAGTTATAAGAGAAGTATACCCTAATAAAAGGCAAGGACCTACAATAGTTCCTAGGAGTTAAGATTATTAAAAAATTAATAGCAACAAATAATTTAGCTATTATAGGCCTTATATATTAACAAGATAGCTAGGCTAGCTAACAGAAAGAACCTGCAGCATGCTACACCTATAAGTAGGATTAAACTTATGCTGCAATCTAGTTTTGCAACTCTATTAAAAGTAAATTAATATTAGCAGAAGATTAGATCTCTGCTCTTTACAGCAGTTACTACAAGACTAGACATTGCCTTTGCCACATCACGCCTTGCACAGTTTCTCACAAATCCCGCATCTAACTATTAGAATGCAGCTAATTAAGTCATCCTGTACCTACATGCGACACAGACGTACGCACTCTAATTAGGAGGAG